CAAAGGTCAAACAGATAAAGGTTAAAAATGCAGTGCGTGTAAGAGCAGAGGAATGGAAGCAGAAGGCAGAACGTGCAAGATTTCTTTTAAAAAATCCTTTTTTCTTTTAGGGACTTGAATAGGAGGAGAAAGGGAGTGGAGAAGATGAAAAATGAGTTGAACATTTTCCATGGAAGGAGGGAAGGGTGGGGTTTAGGTGTGATATTTCTATGGGAACAGCTGGTTTAGTCTGTTTATCTGACTGACTCACCTCACAGAGAGTCTGAGAATATGGGACAGAGCCACACACACACCCACACACACACAGTCTGACTGCTTTTCACTGTCTGACAGGTGACACCGCCACTCATTCTGTAATTCACCGTTGCTGTGAGGTCTGTTTTAAATGTGCTGCAGGGACTTTTATTTAGTTTGTACTTGCTTCACATTCCTGTAGCTACAGACAGATTTGGCACATGGCTCCAGTCAGTGTCAGAATCCTGAAAGAAAGAGAAAGATCAGAATTTAATCAGACAACACTTACAGTATCCCTGTAAGGGGGGTTGCTCCAAACTGTTTGACAGTATCACATAGAGCATATTCAGTAGGAGCTTGCTGCAGCTCTTTAAGCTACCGTATATGATGATACTCACATATTTAAATCTAAGGCTGGTGGTGACTGTTTTGTTGCCACACAGTAGTAAACTGAATATCTTGGATTTTGAACTGTTGGTCAGAAAAAGCATTTCTCACCTTAGTGTGTGGGGAATTATGACAGAGCATTTTCCACTAGTATCTGGTATCTTGTATATAAAACAATTACTGGATTAATCAACAAAATAATCTGCAGATTAACTGGTAATATAACAGCCCTATGCTCTAAATCCCTGTGTTATGAACTGGGAAATGCGAGCGTTTGGGTCACGTGCTGTGATAAAGCTTACTGCTATAACAGAGCCTCTAGGAGAAAGCTTCAGAAGTGATCAGGGTAGTTGTATCACACCTATTTTAGTGCCTGCCCCTCTTCTTCAGCAAATGGAGAGCTAAACAAAATCATTTAGTGCATCACAAGACAAATCAGTGTTGCACCCTTCTCGAGAAGAGCCGTGTGAAAATTCTGACAATCAGCCGTCAGTGACAGATCAGATACTGCATCACCTCCAGCTCGCAGATGTTGATACGTTGATGTAACTCTTTCACACTCCTGTGAAAGTATCTTGCACGCCCTGCTGTTAGTATCAGTGTAGTCTGTTTGACCAACTGGCTACACGACTGACTCCGCATTTCTGTTTGTTTCCTTGTTGTGTAATTATTTTTCTATGGGTTTCTTTGAATTGTAAAAACTTACTTATCAGGACAGATGCCATTTGTTGGAGAATTAAATAGTATAATGTATCATCTTCTAAGTTCACAGCGAGTTATAAAATGTTGAATAATTAATGAAGGATACAGATCATCTGGTAAATTATCACATACAGTATATTAAGTGTTTACACTTAATAATTACATTTAAATGCAGTGAACCTCAATTTAAATTAACACATAGCATGATAAAGCTCAATATTTAACTCAAAATTGAGAGTTAGGTTTTTCCATACTGTGCTTCATTGTCCATTTAATTGCTTTTGTTATAAATTTGACCATTTAATGATCCTAAATCCTGTTTTCTCTGCCAGCTTAACACACTGAGCGATGGTTTCTTTATGAGCACCAAATTTTCTCAGTTTCTTTGCAAGAGATTTCTGTCTGAAAATAGGTTTTTGAGTGAGGCTTTTTTTCTTAAGGTTTAAATTTAAGTATTGCTTGTACATACCGTATATACATGGAAAAACACACATTTAAACTTTAATCTTTTTGCATGTGAAAGCAAACAAAAGATTGTGTTTTGCACCTACAGCAGAGTCCTGTACAGGTCCAAATTTGAAAACCCAGCCTATCCTGACGTCTGAGTGACGTCCTATTAGCTGGACATGAGTTGAGGGGTCAAAGGTTGTGCCAGAGGCCTTCACAATAAATGTATTTATTTAGGCTTGATAAAATTATGCTGGATTAAATATTTAAAAGAAGTTGGTCCTTTATTTATTTTTGACTTTAAATTGTTTATTTCACTCACTACCCGCCCACCTTTAGCTTATTTTTACCCATGCTGTACCCATGAATTAATGTTTACATATCATTTTTTGCGGGTACCCGATCCGGTGCAGGACTCTAACCTACAGTAAGACTCTCATCTCCAGAGTTCACTGACTTGTTCCCGTCTCTCCCTGCAGTGATCCTCCAGGTCATCGCTCTGATCATCTATCCCGTCAAGTTCAATGAGATGATCTTTGAGGGCAACTACTACTACACCTGGGCCTATGGCTTTGGCTGGGGCGCCACCATCCTCTGCATTGGCTGCGCCGTCCTCTTCTGCTGCCTGCCACGTTATGAGGATGAGCTGACCGGTCTGGCCAAGACCAAATACATCTATTCCTCTGCTTAAAGACTAAGCTTGCACACCTCACCCAGTTGCAGCCATTTTCACTTTTCACTCTGAGCTGGAGCAGGAGCTGGCCATTGAACATTTTACCGTGAACCAGTTCATCAGAGATGGTTAAATTGATTCAGCAGTGGAAAACCCGCCGCCATCCATGAGTGAAGTTAGAAGCAAGGGGTGATTCGTACTGGAAGTGGACTGTGATTGGATGCTGCATCTGCTTATATAGACCCCTATTTTAGATTAAATCCACGTCATACCATAGTGTTTTTTTCACATTCTGCATTTAAAGGATAAGTCCAGTGACTTTCTATATTAACAGTATTTTAAACAGTCCCTATACAGAGGCTAAATCCAACAATAATTTCACCTCAACTCATTATGAATGTCTTTCAGTCTGTTAGAAATGGATTAGCTTTTTCATCTGTGCCATAGACCTCCGCTGTTGTTCAAAAACAAGGTGCATCAGGGAAACATCCCACTGCACTGCTTGATGTGTTTCCTCACTATGAAACATCAGACCCTGATATTTTTTTAAAATGTTGCCCCAAAGGCTCCGAGCAGCCGTAACTTTTTACACCATCTGAAGTAAGTAATTGTCAAAGGCCAGTGCACAAGATCTCTGGATATTCTTAACACACACACCTTTTAGGTTATCCAGTTTGACACACTGATGCTCAGCCTTAAGACCTTAAGGCTGAGCATCAGGCTCTTGTGTTTTGTAATGAGGAAATATGTCACTAAGTGCAGCGATGTGCTTCCTTGATGTTTTAAGTTGTTTTTGAACATCAGTGGAGGTCTATGACATGGACAAATGAGCTAATCCCAGACTGACAGACATTAACAGTGAGTAAAGGCAAATCATTGTTGGTTTTAGTCTGTATTGAGAATACTGTTAATATAGAAAATGGCCGGCCTTAGTCTTTAAGTGTAACATGTCCTCATCTCATCTGTCCTTTTTACCCCAATTCACAATCTGAGATCACCCAAGTGTCCTTATCTGAGGGATATTGTATAGCCTACTTAAAACCTTGGCAGAAGAGCATTCCAGACTAAAATTTTGTAACATTAATCGTCATTTTGTGGGTTGCATTGAGTTTTCTCAGTTCTTCAGTGTGTATCCTTTATTCTGTATGCTCGTGTGCATAGGATAAGAAGAAAGCAAAGGCTTGGACTTGGAAGCTGAATGTGGAAATGTGCATGCAGTTTAGCAGTCATGTTTGTTCCATCTGATGCATTCTTTGATGCTGATTCTCTGCTGTTTGTCTCCAGAATTTTGATATTTTTTACTTTTTACTAAATGGGTTTAACTTGGGGCGTTTGCTGTGCTGTCTGTATCTGTTTTGAACACTACTAATAACACTTCATGATTTGACACAGCAGTGTGATAGTTAATACGATACAGGGGAGGTTAAAAATAGAGCTGCTTTATTTTTCTGATTTAGCTGCAGTTGTTGCTTCTCTGTCACTGTGAACTGGAAATAAATTTAGATGAATTTTCACTAAGTGTGATAAATAATTAGAATATAGCAACAATCTTCCAAACAGTCCAAACTGCCATGTGTAATAATGATATGTCAGATTTTTGGTTTAAAGGGAGCAATATAATTCTGTGTATTCCAAGTCTTGTTGCCTCAAAGAAGGTACCTTTAGAGAGTGGAAGATTAAAAGATGTTTTTCAGTCTCAAACAGATGACCAATCATGTATTTTCTACAAGCCTTCTGATAATGCTCCTTTGGTTAACCATCTGCTGGTTTGATAAGACACTGAAACCATGATGTGCCTTAGCTTCTTCACTGTTCTGTTATTGGATCCATAAATGTCCTGTGGGACCAGTCAGTCTGGTTTTACTGCTGTCAGTCAGTCATCAGTCAATTTTCTATTTAGACCAAACAAGACAGAATTATTTTCTTATATTGCATGAAACAGTTTTGGGAAAACAACGTTTCTGAGTGTTGAATGAACAAAAAAAAATGTGATTATTGATCTTGGATCAGTACTAGTCCACAAATGAATGTTTTAATCATCTAACTTAGTGTTTCAGCTACTATAGCTGTATTATTTTGTAGGAGTTTTAAGTGAAGATAAGGACCGATTCAGGCAGGTTCACACTTGAAGGAACTCTACCTGCATGTTTCCCTTCAGGCATTAATTTGTTCGCAATGCCAGATTTAAAAAAAATCATTAATCACTGTATGGTATATATATTATTCTATAAGGTTTTAATGACACTGATACATTTTGGAAACAACCCATCTGTTTTCCTGCTGTAGTATGAATCGAGTATTTTTGATAGTTAGTATTTTTATACAATAAACAGTTTCTTTTTTGCTGAGGTTACATTTCCAGACAAATTTTTACAATGTAGTGACCATGTTTATGTTTAGAGGCAGAAAGAGGGACAGTGGAACAGAAAACTGAAGGAGAGAACGATACGGAAAATAATAAAGAGGGAATGTTTGATACTTTGTGTGCTTATTAATCTTGTATTGACTTTGTATCAATCAGTTAAGCTGAGGATTAAGATGCAGACAAACATCAAAATATATCCATCCATTATTTATACAGTACCGCTTATCCTGGACAGGTCGACAGTCTGTCACATGGCTGACAACCACACACACCCACACTCTTACATGCAATTTAAAGTCACTATCAAAATATATAAGCAATATCCATATTCATAAGGCCTGTCACCGCTCACTCACAGGAGGATCATAGTTAATAAACAACACACAGAACACAAATGTGAGTCACAAATTATGACATGCACACACCCAGAGTGCCACACCTCAGGATGGTCTTGAGTGAGGACTAGACTTTGCTCAGCATGTCTTGACAGCTCTGGTTTCTGTGAGAGGGCAGAGAGAGAAGAGGGCAGAGAAAATGACATGAGGGTGGGAAATACAGCGGATGGACGCAGAAGGGAGTGAGAAAGAAAATTGTTTTAAAAGGAAAGGAAATATAACAAGTAAACAAAACTGAGACTGAAGCTGGTAGTGTAAGAAAATAGATCTAAAGGATCATCTAAAGAATTGTGACAATATTGGGAGTCTTTTCCTCTTTGCCAGACTAAATCACTGTGCAATTTCCCTGTTACAGGCCTTCAGGTTGTTCTCATAGCCTGTCTCATTTTACTTTACCCTAAATCACAGGGACAAAACATGCAGTGAATCATGGATTCACATGTTCAAGCATGCTGCACCTCTGGAATCTATGAAATATTACCCTCTACTGGTGAGTCAGAGGTAAATCCCTAAAAGGAGAAAATAAATAACAACCACTTCAGCATTTATAATACTGGAATATATTCATAGAGTTCATAGTATATTTCACTACGAAGTAAGCTGATAGTGTGAAAGTATTATTGTGAATGCAACCAAAAATAAAAGAAAAAAAAATCAACCATTAAAATGAAATACCTTGCAGTTAACATTAGGAATACAGCTAAACATAATTGTCATTATTGATTAATCTGCTGAGTGGCTTATTCCTTGATTAATCATTGTCTATTAAATGTTATAAAACAGCTGAAAATGTTTATTATTTCTCACAGCCCAAGGTGACATCTTCAGATGCCTTGTTTTGTACAACCAACAGTCCAAAACACAAAGATAATCAGTTTACTATCATGTTGAAATGCATTAAATTATTACATTTGAAAATCTAGGTCCAGCAACTGTTTGGTAAATGGTCCTATACTTGTATAGCACAGCAGCAGTCAACAGGCGGCAGCCTCTTGACACTGCCACAGTTTAATTTGACAAAGTATCTGCAGATACTTAAGAAGAGACATAACAGTCCCAAGTACTGCACAACACATAGTACATGCATATGAAAACGTTGCTTCCAAACTGAGGTGTGTGACATAATACTAACTGAATGCCACCTACAGGCAAGCTTATAATGCTACGTGAGCAGGTAGCAACAAGTTACTGTTACAGTAAATGAGCGGTGCAGAAGCTCAGCAGAGCAAATGAGTGGAAAAGCACTGCCAGTTTATGCAGCTCGACATAAAGCAAAGAGCGCGCTGAGTGTAGACCTATGTATTTTCTATTAGTGTAAACTAGACAAATCAATCTGTGTGCTAGGTAGATAGATAGATAGATAGATAGATAGATAGATAGATAGATAGATAGATAGATAGAATTGTGAGCAGAACTGTGGTGCACAGAACATTCCTGGTGAGCTATAGTTTTTCATCTGTGTTTCTACAGAAGTGCCACTAGAGGCCAGGCTCGATCAGTAAATTAATAGTAATAGCTTCTATGGCTCCTTAATCTTCCACCTATCCAACATATTGCTTTCTCTCTCTCTAGGTTAACTTTTAGAGGTGTGTGTAAAGTAGTGGCCCACAACAGAGACATGAGACAATTAAACAATGTAAATTTAATGTCAGCCTTTACCCCTACACAAAGCTGTGTCAAGTGCTTTTCAGTGGAGGCTGGTTTCGATCCACCTCCGAGGTACTTTCCGCTGAGAAGAAGAGCCAGAAGAACCTGAGATGTTCCCCTTCACAGTTCTCCCCAGGGTTCTCCCCACTGTTCTGCCACCTCATACCAGAACGGGGCCCTGAGGCTTTTGGGGCTCTGATGGAACGATCTGGGTTCAGAAGTCACTCCGAGGGACTGGCCACACTGTCAGAACACAAGAGACATATGACTCTGGAGGACGTAAATAGGTATGTATAGATTAATGTAAAGAACCTGGTTACCAGTAGATAGCCATGTAAATGGCCAACGTGTTTCTGATTATTATAAACCTCCAGTTCCAGTTGTACTGTGCCTTTTTTGAGAATGGCGTTTCCAAGAAAGAACATGACTTAAATCTTTTCATCTTTCTAAACTGATTTAGATCTCTCAAGGATTTATAAGGAAATGTACAGTATTGAAACAATGGAGTTGCAGTAGCACTACAGGTCTAATGTAGGGAATTTAAGTATTAACTTCATTTATTCTTGAGGGGAAAACTGTGCTCTTAAGAGATTCCTACACACTCAGAAACAATTCAGAGGTGATTTTTGTTTTTGTTGCTGATCCCTTCTCAGCATGTGTTGTGTCTGATCATCCCATGTACTGTACAGTAATGTGAAGGGTTTGGACAGTGAGGAACTTAGAGGATTGCTCATATTAAACCACCTGGTGATTTGAGACAACAAAGAGGGTCAACTGTCTATCCTGGGGATTTCCATGTGCCGGTGACGGTGGCGTTTTGCTTTCTTTGCTTCCACACCTAGCTAGCTGTGAGTACTAGCAATGAGTAAGCCAGCATGTGATCTAGTAAGAAATCTAAGAGTCAAATCATCAGCATTGTTTTTAACATTCCCATCAATCAGCATCCACACAGGTGAAGCAGTGCATTCAGATTCCAAAAATCTTATCAAATGCTGACTCATTTGTGGACATTTGTGAAATCAGTATAGGTGATGTTGTATGTGTTTGCTAACTTGGAGGCAATAGCTTTGTGCCCGTTTTGAACTTTAAAAAGTAAGGCTGAGTCTCTGAGCTCAATCATGCATGCTGTCAGGTGAGTATTAGAGTTTCTGTTCCCCATGTGATTAGGTAGGAAAGGAGCTGTGGTTTCCAGTGTTTGGGCACCACATGAAACAGGGAGTGCTTCCACAGGGAAGGGAAAAGAAAATAGAAAGCGAGCTGTGAATCAGCACAGGGGTTTGTCCATTTTAGTTGGATAACAGCAGGTAGATAAGATAAAATAATTTTTTGACAGTAGTAAATTTGAATATTTGTTAAAATGCACCACAGAGCTTTACCTCTGATTTACTTTACGGTTAAGCTAACCTATTTCTCACCTGTATATACACGCAGCACCAACAAGTCAAATGTGACGGTTGGAACAAAAATAGCTTGACTGCTTCTCTTTGTTGTAGCTTCTGTGTTGGTAGACCACAGTTCCACAGTTGGTGTACTTCGCCACATGCTTATGGCTCAATCAATGATAATGCAGCTTGTTAACAGTCTAATGCACAGGTGCACAAAGACACTTGGGATATGACACATAGGTTTGTATTGTTTGAACTTTGAGCCACAGAGAGGGTGGATGCAAGGTGATAGTGTTTATTTTTGCTTAATATGAAAAGGAAAGATAGTCTGTTGATTTTTGGTACAAACCTGACTTATGAAAAACATTACAAAGCTATATGTGCACATTTATGTTCAGGCTCAGTGCCATTAGTTATTGAAACATGGGTTTTCCTGAAGACATAGTTTTTTTCCATAGTGATTTAGGTAAAGAAAGAGGGAGAAACAGATTAGTTTGATGATTCTTGGATTCAGCATGTTAACACAGTCCAAATCTGCATCTGCCCTCTGAGCAGAGGAAGTGATAATTTCCTAACAGTCAAAACAGGGCAACATGACACCTGTACACATTTACATATAAACGCAAGTAAATAGGGCCTATGCATATAATCAGTTAGCTAATCAAAGTGTACTTATGATCTTGTGGTGAGTTCTTCTTTCGTTATCCTCACTCATTTGCAGAGGCTGGGCTCCTTGCAGGCTAATGATTTATTTCAAAAGCTGTGTTATGAAATAGATTATGACGCGACCTGTCTGTCTCCCCCAGTGACGCTTCTTTGTGCACAGTAGGTGGACTATGCTTTTCAGTATTGAGTCAGACAGATAGAGAGCCCCTAGCGGTAGGGAGCTGCAATTACCCACGAGTGAGAGAGGAAAATGGGTGGACGGAAAGTCCCCGTGTGGAAATCCCCTTGACTTGGGATTTTTTTTTCTTTTTTTTTGGAAAGAGAAGGTTGAATGGCGCCGAGGACCGCTGCTGTGAGGCTGAGTGAAGTGGCTGAGAGAGGACTAGCCTGAGCATCCGGGAGGGCTTTGTTATTACCCCGACATATTACACAGGTAAGACACCCGTCCTCCCTCCCTGCGCCTCCCCATGTGGACAGCCTTTCTTACCCAGGGGCTGAGACATGGTGGGTACAACACGTTTGGGCCTTGAGTGATGTATGGTCGTGTTTTTGGGGACATGGAGGAAGCTTGAAGCTTGCTCACGACAGTGGCTTTGACAGCCATTGTTTACAAAGACGTCACCCACAAGCGGATAACGGGGCATTTAAAAATCCAAATGTAGCGTCGGGGTCGCTGCTCCGTGTCGATACCCGCGCTGCGAGACCCGATTGAACGCTACATTGTTTCAAAGGTAGTTGTCATTGGAATTACGTAAGCTTTTAACGTCAGCAAAGTCTCCTGTTATTGTGTTTTTGTGTAGCCAGCCATGCTAAACCGCAGCAGCGCCTACCACTGTGCCACTGTCTGTCTGCCTAAAGTCTGCCAGCGGTGCCCACACACCAAACAGCGATTAATGACCGGTGTCAACATGTTCACTGACATCCCGGTGTGTGTTGGTTCCCTCTTGAGACTGAGTAGCCTTTTAGCATGGCCTGTTCTTGTTGTTGCACCTGCTGCTGTTTGGGTAGTAAAGGCACAAGAGGCCACTATTCACCAAGTATTCAGGTGTTGCACTTGTGAAGTTAAACAGTTGCTACTGGCTCACAGCGGCTAAACGGTCGATCTGAAAATGTTGCTGGAAGTTAAAAAGTCAGCAAACTTCGGGGCCGTACTGCTTGATCATTACCTTCTACTTCCTGTAACCTGAAAACGGGCTGACACTTAATTTTGGGTGAAACATTCCTTTAAAGCCTTAAGCGTGGCACCCTTGAACAGCCACTCTGCTCTTCCACAGTACTTCTACTGCCAGGTTGGGTATTAAAGCTTAATACTTTCCAAACAGTACCAGTCAATGCACACAGTTGCATCAAGTATCATAACTGTACTGCAAGTTTTCCTAACTTAATCTAAGCAGCTGAGCCAGAATTTTGCCTGAATAAAATACAAATAAAGTTTGCGAGGTTTCCTGTTTTAAGGCAACATTAAGCACAGACCACTGGCAAGGTTTAGGTATTTTCTTAGATGGAAAACATGTTTATTTTCCACACTGGCCCGGGTATCAAACATTTTGTAATGCTCCTAATCTTGTTTCAAACAAAGACTCTGTGCAGGTTGACAGCTTTGCCCTGTAGAGAAACGTGTGGGTGAGCGAAGAGGCCTTGGGCAGTCAGTGTGACCCCCCACCACCACCAGCCTGGGAGGCTCTGGGGGGGGGTCTTCACTTAGAATCTGGAAAACACCAGTTTACTATAAGAAGGCTTTGAGCTCAGTGAGACACTGGGATGCCCTGTTGGGTGGAACTGTAAAAAACCATTAAGACAAAAAGGAGAATTAAAATAACAAACAAGGATACAAAGGATCCTTTGTGTACTTAGTTCTGTTTGGCCCTCCAGAATCTCCAGCGAAAAAGCACCAAATATCCTCCACAGTGGGATGATCCTGGGTGTTGGGTGGTTTCCCGAAACAAAGTGTAAATTAAGTTGTCTTGAGTCTCATTTAACAGGAAAGGGAATCTTCGCTGAAAATTTCCACCAGTCAGGTTTATTGTTCTCTACTATGCTCTACTATAAAACAACAAACACACTTCTTTTCTCTCCATCCAGTTTCCACATTGTTTGGTCATCGGCAGTTGGTGCCTCCTCCTCCTCCTTTCCTTCTCCTCGTTCCTCTTCCTCCCCTCCTTCCATCCACCTGGCCACTCATCCGCCATGTCACAGGGTCAGAACTTCCTCCCCAAATTCCTGTTTGTCTCCAATCTGCTGAAGGCCGTGAAGATCCGTCAGCGAGTGCTGCCAGCGGCGGCCTGATGCACCACCTGCGGGGTATGCACCGTTACACTCTGGAGATGATCGCCATGAACCACTTCCCGCAGGCCTTCAGGGAGGTGGTGCAGGCCGCCATCTTGGACCGAGCCATGCAGGCCTCATTGGAGCAGGAGAAGAAGCTCAACTGGTGTCGGGAGGTGAAGAAAATGGTGCCCTTACGTACCAATGGTAAGAAGGATTTCACTGAATTGAAGTGGAATTTGTCTTCAGTAAACAAGGTTTCTATGATGTTCTCACTCCATTAAGTTGGGAACATTTTAGTGAGGTTTTGAGACATTTTATCACAGGTTGAACATATGGTTTGTGGAGCAGGAGGTTCTGCTGGCGTACAAAATTCAACAGAACGGCTGCAGAGCTGATGTCAAACTTTTTCCTTTGATTTTAAGAATAGTTCTTTGCTCATGGTGGAGGATGTGTTTTGCTTTTGTTTCACTTTCTGTGATAGAGGAGGTGTGTATTTATGAGTTGGGGCTATTTGATATGTAAATTCTGAGATGTCATTACTCACAAGCAGGGTTACGGTAAATGACAACAATCGGGGGACACTGGTTCCACTTTCACATACACTCATTTAGCAGCCCCACTGGTTTACTGTGCTGAGATGAGTGTTCGAGTTCAGTCAACCCATTGCTAAGTCATGTTTTCTGTTGCGTGGATGCTGTAACACGGGAACATCCCAGGTTAGACAAACATTCAGACATGGGCCTGTTTACCTCTGGTCATAGCTCTGTAATGGGAAAAAACTCTGGCGTCACACGCAGGACTGTTATTTACTGTTGATGATGTTTCAGACCCGACTATTTCCACAGTTCTTGATTCACAGCCCTAGGGGTATGCCCCCTCTTTTTCTGTGTAGGTGTGTAAAGAGTGTGAGTCTCAGTGAGTTTTAAAACAGCTCAAATAATTTTACTGACTGATGTAGGTTTGTGTCTTTGTGACTGTCGGATGTGTCATGTCTCACAGTCAAATGTGACCAAATCCAGCTGTTTTTTATTGTAGTTTATCTACATTGCAATAATATAAACATATCAGGTATTCGCATTAGATTTAGGTCTATTTGTAGATGGGGGTAAAAAAACAATGTTTGAATGGAAACATAAGCCACGGCATTCACAACAGCAGAAAAAAGCGGAAATCAAGCTGTGTGACAAGTTTGTATTAAACATGTGAGTTTCCAGAGGAAATGCTTTGCGTCTCTCTCATCGGAAGCAATTAACGTTTAGCAGTGAGAAATTTCTGTGTTGCCCTCATCTCAGAATTTACTTTGATCAGTTACTGGATGGATGAGGAACTTGCTGGATGTTTTGTGTCATGTCCGCCTGTTTGTTTTTCGTAAATCGTGACTTTGCCAATTCTGAATTTAGCGATGAGTAAATAAGTTACAGTAACTCTCATCAACACATGGTTCCTCCTCAGGAAGACCCCTGAACCGACTGACTTCTGCTACTCGTAACCTGAAAGGAATTTCCTGACTTAGGAATATGATGTCATAAAGATGAGACAGAATTTAGAGTCGGTCAAACATTGAAGGATCCAGACTTGACTTTGAGCAGAGGACGGACAACAACCACACACACACACACACACACACACACACACACACACACACACACACAGACTGACTGCTGCTGAGTCACTGGAGCTCAGCAGACACACACAGAATGTGAGAGAGCAGTAATCCATCAATGAAAGTCCAGTCAGAGCAGATCATATTAATCAAGCTTCTCAGTGTCATAACACTGCTAGAAGATCAGTCTCAATATTGTCTGAGACCTAAATTTACCAGGTAGCTCAAAACATTAACAACTCTCAGCTAATTTCAGTATTCGCAAAGCCTGACTTTATTCCCAGATTAGACTGAGAAATACAACTGACCATTACAAAAGCAAAGCATTCTTATAAAATGTTAACTCCCTAGCAGTTAAATTTATAGGGCCGCATCCATTTTCCTGTTTCGTGCAACTCGGCCACCCAGTGGAAAAAAATGCATAATTGAAATTCAATGCGTCTTCTGTCTTGGATGTCTAGAACACATCCGAGGGTTTTTCCCAAACAGCATCCAGTGTCTGTCATGTGTCCCCAACCGGCAGGATTTGTTCAGCTACAATGCATGGACTTTAGCATCAGAGAGGACACACACACTGCCACTGTCCTCTGCCTTTTAAGTACAGATTTCAGGTGTCTCTTCTTAAGGTCGTATCCATATTATTTGGTCTTAAACACTCCAGTTCCTTTCAGTGCACAAGCAAAAATAGTCTTGGCCAGGCCTTGTCTAGTCTCACTAGACAGCTTGCAGACCAAGAGTGGGACACTAGTTGATGTGCAATAGAAACCTACAGAAACTGGAAAGCGCAGCATTGCTAACTTGTGTCACCTGGATGGCAACAAGATAGGGATTAAGTCTGGCTCTACACTGGTGCGTCTTCAGGAAGTGTCTCAGCGTGCCACAGAGGAAGTGTCTATATTTAGACTGATGGGACCAGCAGACTGTCTTTCATCCATAGTCACCGTGCAGCTCAATTCAGGGTCAAAAGTCTGTGTGTTTTTGTGCACAAGAGGAACAGATTATACATCTGTGCTTGGGCATTTGTGCCTATTTTTATATGCCTGTAAAAGTATCTCTGTTGAGGATGGTGTGGTTGAGGATGCCTGTTCTCACTAGAGAGCTCTTCATTTTATGTTTTTGTTGAGAGTGATGCAAGAGTGCCGAAATGCAACAACACCTAGCTGGTCTAAAATAGAAGCAAATGTTTTTGTTTTTTTTGTTTTTTTTTTACTCAGAGTACAGTGGGATGTTCCTTCAATTGAATGAAAACAAGTGTAACTCACATTACAGGCATCTTGTACCAGAGGTAATGTTCTTTTGAGATGACTGGTCGGAGTTTTGCCAGTGGCATGCATGTACCTCAGGCTAAACATATTTTAGAATCCTTGTAGAGTAGACTAACGTGTTCTTAGCTGTGATTAAACAAGTTCTGTTGTAATGTGAATGACTCATAGATTAGGATTACTTTGGTCTGAAAGTTTCATTTTTATTACTGCAGTATTATACGGAGAAGGGTGTGTATACTTCAGAAGGGTGTGAATGTTTGCCAGGTAAACATTAGTGAACAGATTATAAAGATAGAGCAAAACATGTGCATTAGAGTACATTTGTATATGTTTGTGCATGTGAGTGCAAATGCTATCTCACTGGTAATTAATTACAGCCTCCATCGAGTGCTGATGGCAGTAGTTAAATAGATAACATTCCATCCTGTCCAAGCCACACCCCTTTGGAAAGTCCAGGACCAGCTGAGTAGCATTGATGAGCTGGGATCACAGGAGGGTAACATAAACGCACACACACACACACACAAAAGGCAGAAGTTAGTGCAGGGAAATTCCTGTGTTTAGTGTGGCAACAGGGTTTTTTTAGAGCTACACAAATTGACACTGACTCCTCTTTCATAATGAGAAAAAGGCCCAGTGCTGCCACAGGAGAACAAATAAAATTCCAAGATTTTTAGTTTCTTATGCTCTCATACACATTACCTTCTGTCAAATCAGCTCTTTATCCCTTTAGACGGTTAGTGTAATATACTGTAGAGGAAGCAGCTTTCTGTGATTGAAACTAGATAACATATTGTTGGAGATACTCTGAGGAGGTTAAGATAGTAAAGGAGTGGAATTTAATTTTTCAAAGATGCATGTCAGGTAGATTGAGGTTCATTTTCTGTGGCCAACTGGGCACAAGCTGGACTTTCAGACACGTGACGGTCATATAATAGTCTTGACACCAGCAAGAATCAGCCTGATGGCCTGGAAATCCCCGGCCTTCTGTTACATGCGTGTGCGCACTGCATTTGTCTGCTATGTATGATGTATAATCACAGCATTTGCATGTGTGTGTGCGCGCCTGCCCATGCACGGTTTCAGATGTTTGTCCTGTGTACAAAATTACCTACTCATAGCACTAATACTGTGTGTTAGCATATGTTATATTTACTTCTCTCTTCTGTGTGCGTCTATAGGAGATGGGAACTGTTTGCTCCATGCGGCCTCTCAGTACATGCTGGGAGTCCAGGACACAGACCTGGTGCTTCGGAAAGCCCTCCATGGCGTTTTGAAAGAGACAGACACTGGCGTCTTCAAAGCTCGCTTCCAGGCAGAGTTGCTCCAGTCCCAGGAGTTCACCCAGACCGGGCTTCGATACACCACCATGGTATGAAGATTAGACAGGGTCCGTGTCAAAAGCCTTTTTGATTACTTTGCATTAAGGTTACTTAATGCAAACTCTTTTGTGTGTGGGTGCTGTTGCAGAACTGGGAGGAGGAGTGGGAAAAGATTGTGAAAATGGCATCTCCGGTCTCCAGTAGCAACGGCCTCCAGTTTGACTCCCTGGAGGACATTCACATCTTCATCCTCTCCAATATCCTCCGCAGACCCATCATCGTCATCGCAGGTACTCACTTTTTTATCATCTCAAGGTAGATTTACTGGTCCTTGTAGGCTATCGGAGACTCACTGGTCCAGTATCGAAGTAAGAGAGAAAAGAGCGCGTATCTCTGAAAGCACAGACTTAAATATTTTGCTTAGTTGTTTTCATAGCGTTTCATTTCACTGTGTCCCCTCCCATCTACTTTGGTCAGTGGATAAAGTGTGAATATTGCACTTTATAAAATATTGTTTCCAAAAATGTTTTATCAAAGTAATATATGAAAAATATAGCAGTTTTAAAGGGGTGACCACACATTTTGTTGTTCTTGCCATACACTTGGTGACAGTTTTATTAAAAGTTATTAAAGTGATAAGCATTGCAAACATTAATAATTAAAATTTCCAGATTACTTAACTTGTTTCAGAAGCTGAAAAGTTCAATTTCATGCCGACAATAAGTTTTTTAAAATGTGCGCTCAAACATATTTTTCAAACAGTTATTTTTAAATTAGTACTAACTCTTAAACTGTTGTTGTTTCAACAGACCAGGTGGTCAGGAGTATGAAATCTGGCTCCTCCATCTCTCCTCTGAACGTTGGTGGGATTTATCTGCCGCTACACTGGCCGCCCACAGAGTGCTACAAATACCCAATAGTTCTCGGCTACGACTCCCAGCACTTTGCACCCCTCATCACTATCAAAGACAGTGGCCCAGGTAGGAAACACTGTGGAGCCAACACGACAAAGGCAAAAAGAAGGAGGCTGAATAAGAAGCTGCTCATGTTTTCATCTCTTATGTAAACGTGTTGGTTTGAATTTCCCAGAGATCCGAGCGGTACCTTTGATCAACCCAGGCCGAGGGGGCTTTGAGGAGCTGAAGGTTCACTTCCTGATGGAGAAAGAACAGCAGCAGAAAGACAGGCTTCTCAAAGACTACCTGTTGCTGATAGAGATCCCCGTCATAGGCTTGGGCTATGACGCCACACGGATCATTAATGCTGCACGGTATTTACAAATTATAAGCTCTGCCCCATAAACAGACTCAATGGAAAAGAAATAGTAAAAGATTGATATTTCAGTTGTAGGTCATGGCCGTAATGCTAAATGTAGTTTTGCATGTGAAATGAAAGCCTTTGTCTTTAGATTGATGATCACAGATATTATAATAACCAGTACACCAGTGACAGTAGCTTTATTAACTTTGAATTTAACCAAAAAGTATTAAATCACAATAATTGCCGTTAATAACCACATTGTATATCTCTGTCCTAAGCCTGGATGAGGGAAATCTACCTGAAGACATGAACCTGATGGAGGACTACCTGCAGCTTGTCAATCATGAGTACCAGCGCTGGCAGGAGGACAAAGAGCAGGCATGGGCTGCACAGCCTCAACGCCCACCACCCTTCTCTGTCTCCCAGCTCTCTCTCATCGAGATACGCTGTGCCACACCACGATGCACCTTTTATGTCTCTGTGGACACACAGCCTCATTGCCATGAGTGCTTTGAGAAGCGACAGGCCACTACTGGTGGAGGAGCAAGGATAGAAGGGGTGGTACAGACCAAGGGAGGAGGGGTACAAGGTGGGGTAGGTGTGACAGGGGCGTCAGAGACTGAGGTGAGCTCCAGAGGAGCTCGAAGCAGCAGCCCCCCATCCTCCTCATCTGGGAGAGGGATGGTGTTATCCAGCCCCCGATCAGCCCCACCCACCGCTCCCAGCCTCAGCCTGTACAGTGAAACCCACGCCATGAAGTGCAAGACACCCGGCTGCCTCTTCACTCTTAGTGTGGAGCATGATGGACTTTGTGAGCGCTGCTTCAATGCCAGGCAGAACCATGGACCCCCTGGGACAGGAACAGCTGCTACAGGACTCCCAGGCCCCAATGGGGGGCCTGTAGCCCCCCACCCGGCCCAGGGTTCTGGCTGGACCCAGTGGGGGGGCTGCGAGACAGAGACAGAGCGCTGCAGCATGTGCAGACAAGAGGCATTCAGGATATTCAATGGCCTGTGTCCACCCTGCATGCAGAGACAGCAGGCTCCAGAAAGGGGAGAGCCACAGCAGAACAACCCCAGAACTGAGGCCTCATCTTCAGCTTGGACCCAGGCCAGGGACGCCGAACAGCCATGCCTCACCCTAACCCCAGGGCACACCTCAGCCTGGCAGGCCCCTCTGGCCCGGCCTTGTAAGAGATCTGGCTGCCAGTTCTTTGGGACGCCAGAGAAATTGGGTTTCTGCACTATTTGCTACGTAGACTATCAGACCAACCACCGTAAGTCCTGAAACTAAACTGGAAGACTTCTGTCATATTATAGACTTTTCAGACTTAGAATCGAACGTCTGTTTGTTTTGCATTGGAGAAAAAAAATGTTACCCAATTTTTCTTTTCTGAAATGTAAAACCATATAGGGCATTGCTTATGTTGGCTGTGTCTGTTCCAGACCTGACCCCACCCCCTGCCCCGGTCCAGAGCCGGCATGGTTTGGAAGCAGGTTTCCAGAATGCCTCACGGTGTCGTGGGCCTGGATGCGGTGCGGTTGGCAAGGCAATGCTAGAGGGCTACTGCGACAAGTGCTATGTCAAAGAGCAAAGTGCACGGCTCAACCAAGTGGCACATCGAACACCACACTCCCCTCCTCTAGTCATGGTAGGGGTCTGTCATATCTTCTCTCCCTTGCTGTGCTTCAATTCTGTTATCTGTTTTTTGTGCCATATCCTTCCTTTGTTTGTCTTTCTTTGTCTGAGATTCTTACTGCCTGTCTTCTCAAATCAACAACAATATCCTGTTGATCTACAGTTGCCTTTGAGTTGCCAAGTGACCTTTCTCCTCTTTCTTTTTCTTCCCATGTCTTTTTCTGTACAAAAAGCGAGACCGAGCAGCCAAACCCAGATCATCGCAGCAATCTCAGACCCAGACCCAGACTCAGACTCAGTGCCGGCGGAGTGGCTGCAGTAATGTGTCCCCAGGTTGCACAGATCTCTGCCCAGAGTGTCACACGCGTGGCCAGGGCAGAGAGGCGGGCAGGCGGGCGCAGGCGCCCAAGGAAAAGTCCAAGCAGCGGTGCCGGACGCAGGGCTGTGACCACTACGCCAACCAAGAGAAACAGGGCTACTGCAATGAGTGTGACCACTTTAAACAGATTTACCGCGGCTGACCACATACATACCCACGCACACAACAACCACGATGACACATTGCTAGCATGCTAGAGCCACTGCCCTACTGTGGGCACCCCATGCCAGTCAATGCACCTCTGATACTAACTAACCAACTAACTAACTAACTAACTAGCTAGTGACTAACTAGTAACCTTATGGCCTGAAAATCAAACCCCCCATGTAGAATGTGAAGAGAGTGTGTGTGTACATGGGGGGAGTGAGTGAATGTGTAAGAGTGTGTGTGTGTGTGTGTGTGTGTGTGTGTGTGTATGTGTGTGCGCGAGTTTGTGTGTTTGCAGTAGACATGGCCTCCAGAATACCTTTTTGTGCAATTATTATCATCTGATGTGCCCTGTGCACTTACATGGTGAGAGGTTTGGCTACGTGTCAGACCAACTGACCTAACTCTTGTGTACAATATGTATTTAGAGGTACGTAGTGAATCGTGCCGGACAAAATGATTGTATGTTGACATAACGAGAAGCATCTGGCATTGCTTTCTAGACCACAGCCAAGGATTTATAGCTCCCGTCTGTCTGTCTGTCTTAATCCATCTGTGTATCTGTCTGCCTGTCTGTCCAGCATTTGCTCTGTAGAGTGAGGGGTGCAGTAGCTGGGGAAGTCCAGCAACAAATCTGTGGAAGTAATAAGCAGAAGTGAGCCAAACTAGGCCAAAGCAAAGCAAAGAAAATGTTTGAAATGAAATCACCAGTGTTTAGCTTAGTTCTCCAAAGTCACTACTTTATGTCCTCCCAAAATAGACAATGATTTGCCAAATGAGGCTCTTGCAATCAATATTGTAAAGTTATCAAGAATTGATTTTCTTTCATTAGTCAGTTGGTATAAGTGTTAGTTTATATTTTCAGGCATATTAACTTTAGTATTGTTACGTATCTGTTGTATGAAGTTAACATTGTGAATTGCTTGTTACGGAAAGCAAGAACAGACCATGTGTCTGAACAGTGCAAGACAGACAGGGCAGGCCCCTGCTAGTTTTGGTGCTACATGTACAGAAATACAAGCCTCTCCATTGTAGCCAACATGCTGGCGGTGTCAGCGGACAGATGGCAGAGAACACAGTAGAGACAGGACTCATTTGCTTTCTGTTCCTCCTTTCCTTCCTCTTATTTCCCATCTTCGTCTCTGTTGCCTTGGACATTGTTTTCCTGTTTACTAACCACTTAAGCACCTAGAGACGCATAAACAAATGTGCACACCTACCTACACATGCACACGCAAATGTAGTAGCTCCTGTCAAGGGGGATGGCAACTATATAGAGAACTGAGAGCATAGTAATGCTTGATGCCTGGGTGATTATTCACCTTACCAATCACATAAATGCACGCTCAAGCAAACAGCTCTGTGAGATTGTATGTGCCCCACCCAGCCTGAGGTGATGTGAGCGTAGACCCATAGAGGAATGAATTCCTCTGTGCTCCACCCCACTGGATGTGTGAAGGCGACAGTTTCAAATCTTCAGAGAGCAACCCTATTGCCTGCTTTGTCTAATCTTGTTTATTTGAATGTTTTGTGTGCTGCTGCTACAACAGCACAGTATTGGGGCTGATCCTCGATAAGTTTTGCCTTTAAGTAGTGATTAAAATTTTATGGACCAGAGGGGCCTGATCAGTGATTCTGTATCTGTGCTCCCACCTATAAAATGCTTTTGTGAATATGGATCTTGATCCATATTGTAGGACCTTCTAATCTGATGCCTCATCTCCAACACACATACTCACACATACAGTACATATGGACACATAGCACACTCGTGTGTGCGTCTGGGATACGCAAAACTGACATTCCTGTTTTTTTTGGTTTTTTTTACGTTTGTTTTGGGATTTTTTAAATGCATTTTGATATATTTGGGTTTGTTTCTGCCAAAAAGAATACATGTGCCATTAATCACCAAACAGTTGTTGTTACCTCCTCAAAAATGGCCAGCCTGGACCATTCTTATCTAGCGTGCCACAGATAGACATCTCCAATTCTTTATAGCCACAGACTACACCTCAACCTCGCTCAAATCCCCAAATGGGCAACATCTTTTCATGACCATCTAAGAAATATTTACCTACAAGAGATAACCTCAAGTGTAAAACATTTAGCAAACTAACTCAAATGTGATACTAACTGGAACAGTTATTGCCCTCATACTTCTGCAGAAGAACTTCACTGCAGTAAGCAGATGTCCATCTCTGGCTCTGGCTAGAAAAACATAGACAAACAGGCTCTCGGTCTGCCTTTTCGTTCAACTGTATCTAAAGCTGTCAGGCCAGCCCATGTGTTGACGGCCTGTACATAGGTCTCTGTGTGCTTTAATCACCTCTAGACAAACCTTAATCAATTAAAGGCCAATTAGTGGTCACCTCATCGGGACCCCTCAACAAGGTTACGGGGCTCTGATTGAGTCTGACTGGGAGAAGATCACATAAGTTGCACATGACTTGTCTAAGCTGCTGAGGCATTTAGGAATGGTACTCTGACTTGCTTAGGGACATTCCAACAGAAGAGCATCCGCTTAAGAACAGAAGGTGTAACAAAACATGCAAACAGAGTGGAAGTACCTTTGTGTGACCTTTCGAGAATATGGTATTGTATGAAAAAAGCCTGGGTTTATTTGTTAAGTATTTATTCATATCAAGATATCTGTATTGTGTGATTCAATAATTATTTATATGTTGTCCTGAAATGAATTATTTTTATTAAGAAATCTGTCTAATGTGCTTCTTGTTTCATCAGTTACTGTGTGTGTGAGAGAGATTGGTGGAGACTGTGAGAAAATGTGTTTGCTCTATCACAGAATATGCACACGTCACAACCGTGTGAGCTACCCTACAAGCACTTCCACATGCAGTATGCTTGTGTGTGCTCCCGGAGATTTTAACATTGCACTCTTTTTGCAGCATTGCCTCTGTCTGCTACACTGTATTGCCTAATACTTTTTCTGCTAAAAAGCAGTTGCTCACTATTGGCACCAAATCCATCTCCAGTGTTGCAAGTACATTGAGCGCTTCAAAAGCTATCAGATGACTGATCACGGAGGCCTGGTTTAGATGTGGCAGGGTGCACCATTTTCCCATGCTTAACCGGGTTAGCTCTTTTCTCCGCCTCACCGGTCTTATTTCTTTTGTTCTAGTTATACATTTTCATACAAAAAAGTTCAAATGAGGTTTTTCTTAGGTGCTTTTTTGCCACTATTCAGTTGTTTCCAGGCTCAGTGTCATGCTTTTAAAAAAAATATAAATGGGATCCCCCACCTTCACATAAAAGAGACAGTTCACTCAGGTGGAGCAGATCATGCAGTGGGAGGGGGGAGTTTGGAGCAAGAGGAGATCAGGCAGTGACAGGTGGGGAATTGGTGACCATTTATATATGGCAGGGCTGAGTTGACACTTAAGTGTGGGACTGCAGTGTTGTGTGTGGGCTTTCTCATCAACCTACAGCCCCTACTGCAGTCAAGATTTGTAGGCTGATGTGGTTTCTTGGAAATACCCCAGCATGCAAACACTCCCTAGTATAACTGTTCCTGTGCAGACGAGCGCTGTTTTCACTCGTGTAGTGCTGCAGAAGTTTCAATGCAACTGTCATATAAACATAATTCTTGAAACCAACATGTTAAGGACTGCACATAAAACTGACTGAGCCATGTTAACGTACACAGTAACGGGCAGTCACATGAAATAATGTCTGTGCTGTTGGGTTGTTTTTGCATTATATTTTGTAAACTGCTCATAATAATGTATGAGAAAATTATAAATGGCAAAGTAACACCAGCTGTTAAATGAACGTAGAGGAGTAAAACTCCTCTGAAATGTGAAATACAACAACACAAAACTGTAATGCCACACAGAGTGAGCTACTTCCATCCCTCATACAGTACTTTAATGCCGCAAAATCCTTAACAGATTTGCTGTTTATCAAATGAGTGGTAATTCTGCCTTGAACAAAGCGTTTACCTTGACTGCAAAAGGTTTGCAGGACACTAAAGGCTGCATTAAACTCAAATTTACACAGTTACTTATAAAATCTATATGACCCAAACTGTATTTAAACTGCAACAATAAACTGAATAAAGATGCCAAATCTAGATTACAGCTCTGTGTGTATTTCTGAATGAACCCACCAAAATATGACTCACTGCCTCTTCTGCTGAAAACTAAAATGTCACAAAAATCAAAAGTACAGTTGAGACTCATTCAACAGGAAGTTATGTTATTGTGCAAAAGGAAGTGGGTGTTTCCATGGTTATCTTTGTTTGACCCTTTTGTAAGCAGTGACACACCTAAAGCTAAGATAACACCCTTTCCACCCTTTTCTACCAGACAAACACATCAGCTACAAATCATTTTGCAATTACAGTATATCATTTGAAACTCGCCCGAATCTGTCTCACTTTTATCTTGAACTTGAGGCAACTTCCACGTTAGGCTGCAGAGGATGCAGAGAGGAAACACACAAAACACAGTTAACTTTATATAGACATTATAATCTTGTAGTCAGTCTGTGTTTGAATAAGAATCTCACTCTCAGCCCTTAACATAATCCACTAAACTGCCAAAACTCTATAATGTATACTGAGTATTTTCAAGTTTAATACCCATTTTGTTCCTATTTTTACATACTATGACATGAAAAGTAATTCTCCCGTTTATTTGGCATTTATAAAACATATATAAATACTTACTAAATTTATAATGATGTTATATAATTGTCAACAGATATAAGGACATTTTAGTGTATTTGTTAACTATCACAACTCCCTCTGTCAGTTTAAATGAATTATTTATTAAAAAGTAAAACCTAGCCATAATTAGATTTAGATACTAAATATCTTCCAGAGCTTCATTAACAGCCTGCTCAGTGTGATGAGAGGGAAGAACTGTCTCTAAATAAATGAATACTTTATTAATAAAATGGAATATGTATATACTTCATAAATAAATACTTATTTTATATTCATAAGCATCCTTTACATGATTACAACTATGTTACATGCAGACAAATAATTGCTAAACACTTAAAATGGCCTTAGATCAGCTTACAAATACATTATAATGTATAACAGACCATTTATTAGTTATAGACTGATTATAAATACTAAAAGAGGAGGTCTAAAATTGTTACCCATTTCTACCTATGTAAAAAGTCTGCAATTTCACAACCTGATGGCCTGTTTATGATAACTCCATATGTTACCAAGTGGTTCAGCTTGTGTCAGCATTGATCTTTGCCTGCATGTGGAAGTGCATGGCAGTGACTCACTGGACTGACATGCTAATAAGAGAAGTGAAAGTGTCACAGCACATCATTGATGAACACAGTGAACCAGAACACCTGGTGATCTCTAACCCTCAGGAACCTCAACTTTCTTTGTCTGTAGCCTTGTTCTCAAGCAGTTTTTCTGCTTTAGGAAACAGTTGTATCACATTAATGAATTCTAGTAGTTTATAAAATTTTTGCTGCAGCAGTAATTTTCCCATGGGGAGATGTATACACTCAAGATTACCAATTTGTCCAGGAAAATGTGCTAAATAATTTCATAAATTTTTGTTTATTTCAGTTTTTCTTAAAACCGCAGTGAGCCATTTTTGACCACTAGGGGCAGAAATTCTCCAAAACACCATTTAAAGAAATGCCAGGAGTCCATGTATTAACAGGGTCTGGGTATCAGTACCAACAAAGGAGGAAAGTAACTAAATAATTTACTCAAGTCTGTACTTAAGTACAAATTTGAGTCAACTTGAGTGTTTTCATTTTCTGCTTCTTCATATTTTGACTTCACTACAGTTTAGAGACAAATATTGTACTTTTTACACTATTACATTTATTTGATAGCTTTGTTACTTCTTAGAATCAAGCAAAAACACAGTATAATGATTAACCTTTACTGATCTTTGGAGGGAAATTCACAAGCTACCAAGCAGTAAATGAAATTCTAAGTATTTATAGCTCCACCCCACCAGCTGCAACAATAAACAAGACAAACAAAAATGCACCAATAAATTATATGATATACAGTACGTTACTGTCAAATGTACAGTTCTACATAATGAGCACTTGTCCTTTTGGAACTTTAAGTATAAGTTGATGCCAAAACCTTTGCAGTTTTACTTATGTAACATTTTGAATGCAGGCCTTCTACTTGTAACAAAATATTTTTACACTGTGGTATTGCTACTTTTCCTTAAGTAAACAATGAGTACTTCTTCCACCACTGAAAAAGACAAGCACCTACAATTCTAGCGTTTCAGTGCAGTGCTTTATATTCCGGTGTTTTTAATCTCACGTAGGCAGACCTCTGCTTTTTCCAGGTGCTCATGTTATATTAGTAAATTCCCAAAAATAGTGTCTGACAGATGGCACCCAAAATATATCGACAAAAGCTAATGTCAAAAGAAAAATTGCCAAACAAAGTAGCCTACTATACTGTGACCACTATCATTTTTATCACACAAAAGATTTAAATTGTATGGAAGCGCACTGCATTCACCAAAAAACTGAAGACTTCACCTCTAAGGTCTCAATTTATCATTTTGCTGCTATTTTCACTACTTAAAGTGTGGTCAAAGATGTCACTGCTTCGCAGCAGCGTAATTTTAAAAATGTTTATTGCGGTAAATCCAACTTAATGTATTACTGCTATGACTACTAGAAAATGTTAGTGTATTGATTGTTATGTTTGTTTTCAAAAAAGCTAAATTAACCTCATGGATTTTTTGAAGGGAGTTTGGTCACTTTTTAATAAGCTAAATACACAACTTACAGAGTGAAACAATGTGCGCAGTTCTTAGTGCTGAAGGGAAGAATCCTGAACAACAACTTTTGACTCAGGAATCAGAAACATTGACCTCAGCATCCAACCACCAGTAACAAATAGTCTGCAGAAACATGCTTCAGCTTCATATTTGTAGTTTTTGCTACACATTTATTTCAGTTACAATTTTTTACAAATTAAGATTTTACACACAAAATGTGCTTAAATATCTGATTGTTTCATTAATAGTATTTTGATAATTGTTTACATTTTTTATGCCTCTGCACAGGCGGCAACTGTGGCTCCAAAAATAATTCGACATGGTGACAGCCTGTACACTTGACTGTACAATTCAATTTGTATATCACCAAATCACAACAAAACTCATCTCAGGACACTACATAGAAAGATCTAGACCTTACTATTATTATCATTATCATTATCATTATAAAGAAAACCCCAACAAATCCCCCTTGAGCAAACATTTGGCGACAGCAGGGAGGAAAAACTCCCTTTACCGGAATAAACCTCTGACAGACCCTGTGTGATTTTAGGGGTTTTATTTAATCCAATCAGGATATTACACAGTCTAGATGAAAGAATTCAGTTTCAAAAACTTAATTTAGTCCCTGTCATACACCTCAATCCGTTCTTTTCGTTTCGTGCCCAGTACAGGGATTGCTGGATAAGTGCTGATCAACAATCCGGTCCAGTTGGTGGCGGTAGTGCCTCATTTTGTTTTTTGCCAACCGCCAATTAACCTAAAGAAGAAGACGCTCGAACAATGATGGCAGTTAGTATAGTTGTTTTGCATAGCCTAGCGTGATTAGTTAGTAACATATCGTGAAATAAAGTCAGTTATACACCAATGAAATCATTAGACTCAGACGAGGAGGAGGCAGAGCAACTGAGTATTTACGAAAAAGAACTGAGGCGTAAGTTAACGTCTAACTGTGCTAAACATGCTAATAAACCCAGCTACTTCACATAATGACCAGTTAGCGTTAGGTTTATCAAGACGTTACAGGAGCCTAGCTTTAACTGTGTTATAGCTGAGTGTATTAATATTTGTTGTTTGCAAAATGTCTGAGTTGTCGTAGTTTTATAGTTATCTAATGTTTTGTCATTTACAATACTGTTTGGAGTCGTATTACTGCCACCTGTTGCTCATTTCCTAGTCCAGTTAATGAAGAGGCATCTTGGTAGACATGTCAACTCTCAGGCTAAGGGTACATTTCAAGACAACAAATATTAATTTGTCATGCAATTTTTTCTTACAACATTAGTTTTAAATTATTGAAATACTTCCATGACACTGAGTAAAACTGAATGCCACCAGTTCCTTCACATTAAACTGCATTTGCCCAAAGCCTGGAGAACTAATACTGTTTTGTCGTCATTTAGACTTTGCTTGGTAGTAAACAGTGTTGCCGTAAAGATGCCTCTTCTAGTTAGACAGGTATCCTAGTAAACCACGCTAGTGTGTCAGCATGCATGTGCTACTGTGACATGTCAAAATATCGGATGTGAACAAGGCCTAACATTATTTGTCCTGGTCCTTTATCTAGTTTATAAGAATAACGAGTTCTGCAAGTTCACAAACACCAACTCAACTGTCATGGGGCACCAAAATAAAATACTGTATGATACTGGCGTCCGTGTGTGTCTCAGAGCGGGCCAACCAGAGTATCCAGCAGCTGAGCAGTGCTCTGGAGCAGCTGCACCCTGATGGAGAAGAGGTGGAGGAGGTCAGGAGGAGTGATGGCACCATCTTTGCCACCATGGCAGAGGAGGACAAGGCAGCATGGAGCCAAAAGACACATAGCGAAGCAGGTGACTTAGTGAATTGATGTGGGACAAGTGTGTCACATTAAAGGGCATCACCTGGAGATTTCCATGCTCATAACTCGATAAATGAAGTTTAATAAATTGCATATTGTGTATGTATACTTTTTGGTGTCTTTTGGCATTGTAGTTAATCAGCTGAAGAGCCTTCTACTCAAGCAGGGCAGAGAAATTCCCTCTCCTCTCTCTCCATTAAAGAAACAGTCTCCATCCAAGGTAAATACTCTATGCAGCTTTGTGTGACTAAGGAAAGCCTGCTACAGAATTATCTGTCAGGCTCATTCCTTCCCATGATATCAATGTCTTGTTTGCAACTTTGTTGTGTTTTTTTGCCTCATTTTTGATTTCCACTCTTTTTCCCCTTTTAGAGAGTGCTACGGGAAGGAAGGTCCAGTTTGCCTGCCTTTCAAGATTTGGTCCCCATGATTCATAACCAGTCAGAGTATATCCAGCACTTGGAAGCTGAGGTCAAATTCTGCAAGGTATGGGCACGTGTGTGTGTGTGTGTGTGTGTGTGTGTGTGTGTTTTTTTTTTACTGACATAAGGTTTGATTAATTTCTCTGTGTCTCTGACTTCAGGAAGAGCTACAAGAGATGAAGCAGCGGGTCAGAGTGGTGGTGGTGGAGAATGAGAAGCTACATTCAGAACTTAAATCCAAAACTGTGGATCAGTCTCTGAAAGATTATACAATTCGCACCTCCACGGTAGTGTTAAGTCATTACATCCAGCATGCATTTCAGAGTGGGCAGAGAAAGTGTAAGCTATATGTACATTTTGTAGGTCAAATGTAAATCTTGTGCAACTTTTAATGACATTGTTAATGAAATCACTTTTGGAAAAGTTGCTCATCATCTGCCCTGATGTGTTTCTCAGGTGAATGAAAGTATGGCAGCCAACAATCCCATAGCCTCTAATACAGACCACAGAATACTGCACAGCGCAGAAGACACCACATGGAAAAAAGAACTTGTAGGGATCATGGATCTGCTCTCTCCTCTTTTCTAGTAACTGTTCAGTCTTTTATGATACAGTTAATCACGTTCTAAAAATAACCCGCAATAGGCGAAATCTGCGAAGTAGTCAGCTTTATTTTTTTTACAATTATTATAGATGTTTTAAGGCTGTAAAACCTCTCACTACACACTTTATACACTTTTCTCAGACAGGCATTAACATTTTCACACTTTTCTCTCTTGTTTAAACACTCTCAAAGTTCAAACCTTCGTAGAAAAATAATAAATATAAAATATAAATAAATAAAAATACTGTATAAACGTTTTCCTATAAATAATAATGATGGATTTTAGAACTAACTAATTTAATTTCTGTACTGTACATGAGACACGGCATGCAAAAAGCATGCAAAATTGCGCTAAAAAAAATCCGCGAAACTGCGAGGCCATGAAAGGTGAACCGCGTTATAGCGAGGGACCACTGTACTGCAGTTTCTGCGGTTTCATTGGTTTTTATGTTGTATATTCCAAGACAAGACAAATGTATTGCTTTGAAAACATACAGTATATAATAATGAGGATAATAATCACCTTTATTTGGCCAAGCATGTTACACACAAGGAATTTGTTTCCGGTACAGAACCGAGGCAGCCATCTGCGGCACCAACTCAACCGATGGCTCTAACCATCAGGGGCAACTTGGGGGTTCAGTGTCTTGCCCAAGGACACTTCTACATGTCGACTGCAGGCACCATGATTTGAACCTCCAGTTGGGAAACAACTGCTCTACCAGCTGAACCACAGTTGCCCCTTATATGGTTCCCATCAGTAAAGTGCATTCATTTGCAACTTGATCCCCACTGAAACAGATTAAAGATGAAAAACACCCATCAAACCAGAATGAAATGCATAGCTCTCATGTTCAAACATGCTGTGGAAAGATGGAAAAGTGTGGCAAAATTATAACTTTATCCCATTTACTTAATTAAGTTCACTGATTCATTGCATTTCATAGGCATATACCTCGTCTGCTCTGAAAAGGTTTGTCTTTATCAGGAACAGTTAAAAGTGATCTACCAGGCCCAGATTGACAGCTTGGAGGCACAGGTCCTCTCCTTCAGGTCTGTATTTTCTGGCTATGTAGCCAGTAGCTACAGGTTTATGTTTTCTTTTTTATTACTTGGGCATCAAAAGAACAATACACATCTCTTTACTTACCCTCTTTCTCTACATATTTTGTTTCGATCATCAGGAAGGATTTGTTGGTCAGTCAGAAGGAGTGTGAGGAAGTGAAGGTTCGTCTGAGACACAGGGAGCAGCTGGCTGCAGATGCACTCAGGGCTGATGGAGCTCCACATGTGGCAGGATTGTGTCTGAAGTGTGCACAGCATGAAGCTGTATTGGCAGAGACTCACACAAATCTGCACGTCCAGGCTATCGACAGGCTCACAAAGTTAGTGGTAACACAGGCACATGTACACATAAACAAATACTTTCTGTGGATCAGTCACAAGTTAGCTACAGCAGATTAACTCCTCTGTAGTTTAAGGTGTAAGTGTTTTGTACCCTGCAGGTTTTTCATTGATAGATCTTAACTGTGTCTCTAAGAGATTTCCTGATTGTTCATGTCTTTATATGATCACCTGTTTTTATTGGTTATTTCATGTTCATAGCAAAATTGGAAACAATGCGCAAAGAAAAAAAATGATTTACCTGCTGTGTTTTTCTAATGCTGATTGTGCATTTTCTTATATGTTGATCTTACAGAGAGCGTGATGAGTTACTGGTGGCACTGCGTGCTGTGCGGGCTAGTCAGCAGGAGGCACAACAAAGAGAGTGGTCTGCTTGTCTCCAGGTCAAACAGGCGGTCGAGATGGCGGAAGAAGCAAATTTGGATAAAGCTAGGGTCAGAGAAACATATACACATATTTTCCAGATGTGTTGCTTCAGACAGCCTTTTTTTATTTGTAAAAGAGCTAAAAGAGTCATAACTTCTAAAGTTGTTTCCTCTTTCTACTGCAGCTGGTTAACATCTGACACACCTAATGTATCTGTTTGTATGCATGCAGGTGGAAGTGCAGTGTGAGCAGTTGTCCAGGGAGCTGGCACGACAGAGGGAACAGCTGGAACGAGAAGCACAGGCCTTGAAGGAGAGACTGGCTGAGGCTAGAGAGGAAGGCCGGGCTGAGTTTCGCCACCAGAAGGACGAGCTGGCACATACAGTAAATTTTTTTTATTCAGTCTTTGTGTGTAGAGAACTCAGGACTGTAACTGTTTCATTTATATGTAGTTCTAGTCCACAGTTGGGATTGTTTTGAAATACTAAATTATACTTGAACATAAGTTCAAAAACTGAAAATAATATTTAAATAATGTAGAACTACTTAACGTTGTTTGGCAAAAGTATGAAACAATTTTTGATTTTTGTCGTATAATAAAAAATAATAAACATTTGATGCATGGTCCTTATTTAAGTAACTTCTGCAAAGAGCAAACACTTTTTTTTTCTTTTATAAAATGCCAATGGAAAAATGGTGTGTGTACCAGGTGTCCAGCCTCTCCCAGCATGTTGCTGAGTTGGAAGGGCAGCTAGACAGAGCTCACAGAGACAGGAACTCACTGACCAATCAGCTGGAAGATGCTCTTTGCAAACTTACCAGTCAGGAACAGGACAATACCAAGGTACACTGTGTGCATTGTGCAAGGCAACATTAATTCATTATGTATATATTGTTGCTTACCATTGGTGTGTATATATTGCTCACATCTTTCACAGAGCTAGCTGAATCAGCTAGTAACTGCTGTTTTAGTTTTAGCTGAATATGGCTACAGTGTTGTCATGAAATACGTGTTTGCTGCTAGACCAGCACTTAAAAATACGGCTCTAACTTTGAAGGAAAAGATGTAAAGAAATAGTCCTGGTATTCAGGGGCACTTTGTACAAGTCTGCTTGTAATTCTTTTGTAAATCCACTGGTTGGCAGCAAAGGTTTACCTATTTCAGTATTTATTTTCTGGCTGTTGTTGGAAGAGTAAATTCCAGCAGTGATTAAATAAGCTTAAGCTAAGGTAATTAACCAAGCTTCATTTGGAGATGCTTAGTTTGGTTTTAAACCATGGTGTATTGTGAAATTATGGGTCTACAGTGTATGCAGGCAAAAGGTAGCAAAACAGGGACCATAATAATTGTGTGTCTTGTTTATTAGTAATAAATGATGATGATAAAAATAACAGTAGCACATAGTGTTCTAATTTTAAACAAAGAATATGGTTCCAGTAAACAAATAGAAGAATGTGATGCTATTCAATTGTTTGTGTGCTTTCAGGAGGGGAAATAAATGAAACTCACAGGCAAATTTGTCAGTATTGTATAATACTGACTAAGGTGCACATTAGCCTGAAAAACAAAAACACTAATTCTGTCACAGTCTAATGATTAAAGTGAATGATATTTCCAGATAAAGAGAGTAAGGAAGAGAGTAAGATGATGACAAAGATTATCAAAAATGGCAAATGCTGAAGGAACAAGCACAAAGTAATATTTTGTAATCAGAGCTGGCTGTTTTTAACAAGTCCTTGTCATCTACTGTAGGTGTTTGTGGATCTGCAATATCAGCTCAGCCAGGCTCAACTGAAGAAAGGGGAGGCAGAGAGAGAGCTCAGAGAGCTCAACACTAAGACCAGCAGGCAGATGGAAAAGGCTGCACAGGTACATCTGCATTCAACCCACTGATTAGTTTAAATTTGTTAGATGAATTAGATTAGGTCAGTACTTAGTAAGGCTGCCGCTACTGTAGTTTAAAAGCTGTACTAGGGGGTAAGAGGCAAAATTAAGAACCAATGAAACATTTGTTTCCCAACTTTCATGTATTTTTTAAAATCCTAAATCATTTGTACAAGCATCAGTTATCTCAACTGCCTAGTGGAAATACTGATTCATTGTACAATGCTAGAGAAGTTCTGGTTACACCTTTAAAAGACGCAGTACTTGGTAATAGATTACCTCAGAGAAAATATGAGTTGCTTTGATATTTCAAAATACAGTTTGGAATCAAACTGTTTTAAAATGTACATGATCAAACTTTAAATCATTTCCTTGTCCTGATCAATGTTTACTTAAGGCTGAAATCAGCCTATAACATTGTGTTTGTTTGAGAGCAAAAGGTGGATTGTTGTGAAAGATTTCCTATCCTTTCCCTCCTTCCATCTCCACGGGACAGGAAGTGGAAAGGCTGAGCTCAGAGCTGGTTGGCTGTCGGCAGCATCTGGATGTGGTCCAAAAGGACGGGAGCCAATGGCAGGCCGAAGCCCTGGGCCTGGCGGAACAGCTGGCAAATGCCCAGCGCCAACTGCACCTCACCAGGTAGTACCTAATCCTATTATACATGCCACCACACTTGCACACATACACACAGCGCTCCCCTCTGCCCAGCTCCTGCCCAGCTCCAGCCCAGCCCAGTCCAGTTCAGACCAGCACACCAACTGTACCGCACCAGGTAACAGTTAATCCTATTATACAAACCACACACACATAGACGCACATGCTTGCTGCTGTGCCATGGTCCCGGTACCAACTGGACCTCACCAGGTCACCTCTAATCCTGTTAAGCATGCCACAACATAATACAACACACACACACACACAAACACACTACTCGCTCCGTGCCACCAGGCCAGTGTCCAGCCTAGCAACAGCTCCAGCAGAGCCAAAATGGCGCCTGAGCCTTTCTCCTATCCCTGGCGTGCACACACACCCACACACAGAGGAAAGTGCGGCTGATGATCACTGGACAGCTTGGCCTTACTGCCACCTGCCAGTGCCCTGCACCCACGCTCACAACGGGCACTACCGGTCCCTCTCCCTCGTACCTCCATCTTTTATCTTCTCTTTCTTTTTGTCCAGTTTTTTTCCTGCCTCCCTTTATCACTTTCTTTGTTAGTGTAATGTACATTCATCCCACCCATACATGCATTTTTCTAACTTCATTTCTTTTGTCCATAGTTCTCCTTCCTTGCCATCCTCTATATTTTGCCTTCTCTCTTTCAGATTTTTTCCTCCTGCATTCCTCCCTTCTCCTTTCATTTCTTCTATCCCTCCTGTCATCATCTTGCTGCTGTTCCTTTCCACACCATCCACTGCCAGGACCATGCCAGCCCATGCCAGCCGCCCAGGGCACTTTCTCACCCCCGCTGCCCACAGTCGAGGTGTTTGAGATGGGCACAGATGTGGCGGTGGTGCCCTGTGGTGCTGGAGGCTGTAGGACACAAGTTTGTGTAATCTATGTGTGTGTGTTTGTTTGTTTGAATGTCTGTCAGCCTGGCAGTAAGTGTGTAGATGTGTGTGTGTGTGTGTGTGTGTGTGTGTGTGTGTCTGCCCAATGCTGCTCCTGGCTCTGCTCTGTGTTTAAGTGTGTTTGTCTGTCAGCTGGCCAGCATTAACACACTGGCTGCATAGCTGGCTGTTGTGTGTTTAAGGGATGAGGCAAGGAGTGTGTGCATGTATATTTTGCAGCCAGCTGTGGAGAATGACATGCATATTAATGTGGCAACATGATGACTTTGACCTGTACTTGAGGAGCCACTGGACTAAAGCATTTTACTGCCATGTGTGCGGGTGTATGTGCATGAGAGAGTTTATAGCTTTATCTCTCCACAGATGCATACTAGATGTTTGACAGCTGTTGACTTGGCTGAACATGTAGCCATTCAAATTCAATTTTGGTCATTAGCAGTGAAAGCCACTTCTGATATTGATTTAATATGGATATTTATTTTCCAACAGTATCTGAGGTTTGGATTAGACTATATAGAAGGAATATTATCAGTGGAAACCCATTGCAGTTGTAGCATATGAACCCATGATACAGATTTTATTTTTGGTGCCAAGTGTTAGTTGGTGCTAAGTTGATTGATTCTTTGCATTTCACATCATCTATAGAAAGAATGCTGGTCTAGCTGGTCCTGTTGCTATAGGCTGTATTAAAAATGAATTGGTATGTTTGACCACGTTACTGTTTCGAACCTTGAAGGTCTGCCATCATAATCATTCATATATGGAAAGAATGGCACACACTTTCTTAAAGTCCTTCCTTTGACAAAGGCATTTATAACTGTGTGAACATTTGCAAACAAAGCACTGGAGAGAGTTTCATGTTCTGCTTACTTAGCATTGTGAGTACTGACCCAAACTCTAAAGCAAAAGGTCTACTGAGGACACACTGAGGATTTTGGTTTGAGTTCACATCACACTCATGCTGTCCAACAAGTTAGCCTTCTCAGACTTGTTTTTTTTTTTAGAGGCCGATAGTCTTTCCATTCATTCAGTGATCCATCTGTGTTGGATTTAATTTATATATATGTTGTGATATAATATAGGAATTTTTAAAAATATGGTATTTCTGAGATGAGGGCATCTAAAAAAACAAGAAAACTGGTAATTTGTCAGATGCAGATAAACGCACCAACACACATTCACTTGTAAGATACATACCTGCTGAAATTAGGTCACAGCCTTTGGCCTGCTTTCAGGCAGCCCTGCATTATTCTCTTTTTTTGTTTTCTTACCTTTCCCCTGATTTTTAATGTTCTCTCTGCTTTTTTCATGGGGTTCCAAACGAAATAAATAAAACCTCAAGCATAGTGATTGTCCCCCTCCCCTTACTCTCTCTACCTTCGTTTCTTTCTCTGTGTTTGTCCATCTGTGGGCCTTCTGGGGTTATGCAGAACTGTGGGTAGTTGATTTGTAGTTGTGCCTCTGTTTGCCCTCTTGTTTTTCACTACAGAGTTATGTTTGAGTCTTTGTAGCTGTAGTGGTTTGTGTAACCGTTTGTGTGTGTTGTTAGAGAGTAATAGTGCTAGATTTACAGTAGCGAGGCTGGAAGGCATTTGTACGACCGGCCTTCAAATGCATGTCTTTGATTCTGTCTTTGCATCTTGCTCACTTCCCTCCACTTTCCATTCTGTCCTCCTCCCCCGGCCCAAATGATCACAGCCCACCTTCAAACGGGGGGCATGAAGCATAGAAATCTGTGTGATTTCTGGTAGCCCAACCTTTCTTTCTGATAAACGCCTATACACACACATACATATTTGTTTGTACACTGATACACACATCAGTTGAATCCGCATGCCTGTACACACAGACACAAACGCACACACACAGATGCATGCACGCATCCGCAGGTCCCACGGCGGCTGGTGTGCTGCGCTGCGCTCCAGGATTGGATCATCAGCCAGCTGTGCGTTGGACAGCCCAGGATCTGTCCTAATCCCTGCCACTCTGTTCACATCGCCTCACATATACACACACACACTCCAGTCCCGGCCCCAGCCCAGCAGAGGGCTTTACTAAGTTTGTTTTGTTTGTTTGCTCCTGTCTTTCTTCACTT